GTTGGAATAGAAGAAAGCACTTAAAGCATTGCTTTATCCTGCTCATATCAGAAGTAGATCCAAAGAATTGCTTTATCCTGCTCATATCAGAAGTAGATCCATCCTTTCTTCTGGGTCATTATACAATGTCAGCACCCAACAGATCTTGCAGGACTGTTTACAGAGCGAAACCTGTCAGATAAAGAGGTGTTTAGCTGGCCTGTTGTTCTGCAGCTCTCAACAACTGGCAGCCCTGCTCGCAGCCAGATCTGCTGCAGGGAGGGGGCCGAAGCACTGCCAGGCAGGGCAAGCAGCTGATGCCAGGCCCCAAAGCAAAGCCAGCACACGGACTGCATTTACAAGTAGGGACTTCAGACTCAGCTCAATTTCACACTCAGAAGCTAACACAACACGCTCATCATTCACATCTGTCCACCTTTGAAAAGGAAACCTCTCCCACCTGACTCCCCTTCTTTTTGCTGTTCTAATTGACTAGCCTTCTCTATTTTCCCCTAAGCTATCATCCCACATGCTAATACTTTCCAGGTTTCCTAACTTCCCCCTTACTTCCAGAAGACCCTTTTCCAGTTGGTGCTGCTGCACCAACTTGCAGTCTCACCAGAACAAGAACAGAATCAGAGAACCATTAGTGCAGGAACAGACTAGGATCATCTAGTCCAGTCATCAGCCCACCCCCCCCATGCCCAGTAAACACATCCCTGAGTGCCACATCTCCACATTTCTTGAACGCCTGCAGGGACAGTGACTCCATCACCTCCCTAGACAGTTTGTGCCACTGCAGTACCACTCCTTCAGAGAAGTTTCACCTAATAGTCCAACTTGAACCTCCCCTGGCACAACTTGAGGCCATTCCTTCTCATACTGCAGCTACTTGGGAGGAGAGGCTGACCTCCACCTCCCTCAATTTCTGATGATCTGAATCATTTCCTCCAGTAACAGGGCAATACTTCCTGTGCACAGGCTGCCACTGCCAAGAACTCAAATTGCTCAGGGTATTCACCCGCACTCTTGGTGGTTCACTTTTGCTCCAGCTCTAGGGCCTTCTGCTGGAAAGCAGGCTCGTCACCACAGGGTGTGAGCAATCAGCACTGCAAATCCCAGCAATTTGGCTCAAACTGAAAGCAGCACATCATTTCGGATCTGGATGTTCCCAGCTCCAGCCCTGATGCATCAGCCAAGATGGAAGCTGTTCCACCCCCCACTGCTGAGTTCAAGAAAAGATGGCGAGGCCTCCAAATCAGACAGATTTATAATCATGAGGCGGAGCAGGAAGAAAAATTCTCTGCACAGAAAGATTGCTTCTGCAACAGCGAGGCTCTTATGTGGTGGCTCAGATCCTGCAGAACACCCAAACAACTGGCATCTGACAGCTTCACACTAGCATTTCTTCTAAACTCTAATCCTGGGTACAGACAATGCTTGTCCTAATTAAGTAATTTAAATGGGGACTTGCATCTTTCCTGTGCGACTCTAGTTCTGAAGCACTGCACTACTGATGAGTGTTTTGCAACTGCCAAGACATGAAAGCGTGTTTGTTATTAACACATCACTATATAATTAGGGGACTTAGCAGGGGGCTGGGTATTCTCATGTTCTTTTTCCTCTGGCACTGACATTGCTAGATGAAAGTCTCTAGGTACCCGTTAGGTGACAAGTGAAAATTAGTTCTGTGGCCAAAACCAAGCAATTTGGCACAATTTAGGAGAGAGATGGCATTTTCTGCTCAAAAAGGCCCCAGAATTGGAACAGCGGGAGGTGTTACAGATCAAGATCGAGATGCGGTGGCCAAGCTGAGCGTGTGTTATGGAGCAGAGAAGCAGTGGGTGCTCAAGTCCAGGACTGAGATATGCTGGCAGAGCTGAGATGGGGAATGCTGCCCAATTTCTGAGCATAGCACAGAGTCTGTATTTTAATTGGAGTTCCTCTGCTCATCTGCGTGGCTCAGTGCAAAATTTCTTCTGAATTTTCCAGGCCACTACTAGGACCCACCCAAAAAGCCTATTTTCCACTTTTTCCCACTCCTCTAGCAGCAAGCAATCGTGCTCATGTACTCTGTTACTGGCTCCCACTAAATGTCACAGGTCAAGCACCAGAAACATCCACAGTAATTCCATGAGTTTGCACAGATATATGGTCGCTGCTCTAATGAGTTTCAAACTCAGATTAAACAAGGCCTGCAATCAAAGAGAGGAGGGTGTGGGATTTCAGGGGAAGGCTTGATCTCAGAGAACACGCAGACAACACCTGAATAATTGACTTCAGGAAGCCAAGGGAGCGCAGAGACGCTGTAATGTGATGGGAGTGCTGGCTGCCACAGGAGGCAACAGCACTGCAGCCATCTGCAATGCAAATCCTGCCTTGAGCACTACCTAATGTTTATTAGGTGCAGCTAAAGATTCAATCCCAGGCACTAAAGATATGCATGACCGATCCCACCAACAATAAAGGAATTCATCGTTTGAGAAAAACTCCTTCCCGCATTGTGCGCACGCCTACAGTTTAAGCTGGCCAAAGTAGGTCAAAAGGAATGACTCTATTTAAATATGTAAATTCAACTTAATAAGGAGTAAAAACAATTGCTTGTGAGTTCAAGCTACAAAAAACACTTCTCCACGGTTCCTTTGGGAACCCAAAGCTCTGGCTTTCGCCCCTCCCTGTTATTCCTCTGCTTGCCTATCCTCATCCCCTTTCCTCTCACTTCCTGCCTAATAGGATTCTGGCAAACCCCCATGTCTCAAAACTGAGCCTGTGATCAGAAAAGCAAACTCAGTAAGGTCATTAAGAAGCTCATGCATAAAGGTTTGCGAGCACTGAGTGGCTGCTGAGAGCACATGCTCCGTGTGCAACTCTCCATAGCTAATTTTCAAAAGAAGCATTTGCCTGCTTGTTTGTCTGCCTCCTGCAGACAAAGTTCCCCCCTCCTCACTTTCTTTTTTTTCTTCCTTTTGCTAAAGGGAACAAATTCAGTTTCCAGTAACTGAAAACTGATTAAAACTGCCTTTGTTGTACACCCCCTCCAAGCCACAAGCAGCTCATACCACAAAACTGTGTCAAGAAAAGGAATTCTTACACAAAGGACTTCATATAACCAGGAAGAAGAAATGCAGAATAACTGTAGAGGTGACATTTTAACTCTGTTTTGAAATCTCCCAACTCTTCCTGTATTAGGAAGTATTCCAGCAAAAGTTCTTAAAATCATTCTGTCACACCTTTAAAATAATACACAGACCTAAATGAGAGATAATTAAACAGGAATTTAATTAATACTTTTCTACTCAATTCCGTGTCACTGCATGAATCCAGCAGCCCTGCGCCCCTCCCCATCACCTCTAATTGAAGTCTGTGGGATGGTGGGCAGCTCGAGGGACGAGACATAGGGTGCTGCATTTTGGTTGGGAGCTGACAGTTTCACCTCTAAATTACCTTTTCCAGGCAAATCTAGATCTGCACTAGGTTAAAACAAGTATGCATCAAAACTGCTTGTTAGCTCTGTGACTGAACAGGTTCAGTAAGGGAACTTTTCTTCTTGCTGTCTTGCAGGAGTCAAGATCATAAAACAGATCTTTCAATTACCTTTGCAGCCTCTTTCAAGTTCACTAACAACACTGGTCACGGAGCCAGAATATCAGCAGTTTGTGGAGACCGAGTAGCAGTGGTTCCTCCCAGGCAGGTTTAATGTGGAAACTGGACCTGTTCTGGGAATAAAAAAAGACAACTTGAGTCTTCAGAGCAGCAATACAGAACACAGCATTAGCATCAGATGAAAAACTAATCACCCCAAATTGGAATCAAGGCTAATTCCCTGACATACTACACTACTGGATGGGTTATCTGCTCACTGTCCAACCCTCTGGTGGCACAGCACTAATCACGGAGTCCCTGAGCTGTGTCAGCACTGCAGGTGCCTTATGGGCACTCTAATTATGATGTTCTGCGACAAGGCTATAAATACACAGGCTCCCACAGGTGAAGACCTGATTGCACTGAGCAGCTAGGGGCTCCTGTGGTGTTGGCTGTGTCCTCCAGCAGCACAGCATTAACCAAGAGCTGCACCTGGGGAGCCCAGGGGCACGGCAGCAAGATTTCATGGTGCATACAGCAGCAGGAAAAGGGCCAAAGGGAAAAAGGGTAAACTAGTTAAATGGAAAGTCCTACCAAAAGAACCCCAAAAGCCTTCTGCCGCTCCATCTCCTTTACTGTTTGTTTTGTCAGAGTTCGAGAAAGTGACAGCCATTCACAACACGGAGCTGAGTGTGGGAATTATCAGCCCTCAGCCAACGCAGCTGTCAAACTCCCGCACGTTTCGTCGCAGGCTCACAGCTGACGCTCCTGCCGCTCCAGCAGCCCGGCTCCCCTCGCTCCCCTCACAGCCCCGCTTCCAAGGCGGGCAGCTGTCCGTGCGGAGCTCGGGCAGAGCTGGGGCTGGGGGCTGAGATCGTGAGCTGCGTTACTGAGGAAAAGGCTGAAGAACACGGAGCAGAAATACGGCCCGTGAGCCCATAGAGGTGGAGGGTAGCGAGGGACGGAGGAGAAAGGGCGGCCTGAGGGAGGCAAAAACGAGCGCAGCTCCATCCTGAGGACCGAGCCCTGATGGAGGCACCGGGACAGCGCTCCCTGGACGTTCCTCGGTCTCCACACCACGGCACTCACGCTCCGTGGGCGGGGGTCGGGCTCCCTCGGGCCCCAGGACACCCCGAAGCCCCGACAGTCGTGAGGGAGCCGCTCCTCCCGCCATTTCCCCTCACGAAGCACCGCAGCGCTCGCGCTCCCCCCTGATTCCCGTAGCTCAGCTACGCCCGCAGCTCAGCCGCACCTCGCCGCAGTACGCAAACGGCGCAGGGAGGGAGCAGCTGCGCGTTTCGCGTAGAGCCCGCCCTGATTCCCGAAGCGGCTTTACGACAGACAGGGCCCGGAGGGGGCGGGGCGCCACGGAGGCGGCGTAAGGAGGGCCCCCGCGTCCATCCCTCCCGCCTTCCTCCCCCCTCAGACGTGGCGGGGGAAGGACCGCGCGATGTGGCAGCGATCTGCGTGCGTGGGCCTGCTGGCCCTGGCGCTGGGCTACCTTTGCCTACTTGGTCCCCGGCCGCCCCCCTCCATCCTACAGCACCTCTCCTCCTCTCTGCTGGGCGGGCTGAGCCGCGCCGGCTCCCTGGAGAGCCGCATGGTAGCGGCCTGGCAGGCGGCCATCGTCCGCCCGGCGCGGGGCTGGGGGCGCGTCGCCGTCGGGTAGGTCGCTGTCGTGTAGGGCGCCGTGCGTGCGCGGGCCTCCAGCGGCAGGCGTGGCACAGCGCTGAGCGGAGCGGGACGGGACGGGATGGGATGGAATAGGATGAGGCTGCTGCCCGCTGAGGGCCGCTCGGCGGGGCGGGCTGTGCGCTGTGCCTCGGGACGCCTCGCCCTGCTTCGTTGTGTGTGAAATGGTTTCGTGTACTGACACGGTGACCTAGGGACGGCTGGCGGCGCTGATGGGTGTGAGGGGGCTGGTTGGACAGAGCGAGGCCTTCTAGCAAACTTAGAGGTGGGGAGAAGAAGAGCGGTGTTACTTGAGTGATAAGCGATAAGAACGTGGCAGCAGGTCGAGGGAGGTGATCTGCCCTCTGCTCTGCCCTGCTGAGGCCGCATCTGCAGTGCTGGGTCCGGTTCTGGGCTCCTCAGTTACAAAAATGCAGAGATTTTCTAGAAAGTGTAGCTGTGGGCCATAGAGATGCGTGGGGGCCTGGAGCATCTCCTGTGTGAGGAAAGGCTGAGAGACCTGGGGCTGTTCTGCCTGGAGAAGGCTGAAGGGCAGAAGGCAAGTAGGGCCGGGCTCTTTTTGGTGGTGTGCAACAACAGGACAAGGGGGCACAAAGTTAAACACAGGAAATTCCATACTAACACAAGAAAGAACTTATTGTCAGGGTGACAGAGCACTGGAACAGCCTGCTCAGACAAGTGGCGGAGTCTCCTTCTTCGGAGATACTTACGACATGCCTGGACGCCTGCCTACCTGTGCAACCTGCTTTAGCAGGGGTTGGACTCGATGATCTCTAGAGGTTCCTTCCAGCCCTTACAGTTCTTTGATTCTGTGAGTGGAATCAAAGGGAAGAAATGAGAGAAGGAAGGGGATAGGAAAGAGCAGTGGGCATTAAAACACCTGTGTGTGCCTGGTGAAGTCCAGCACTCTTTTTACCCTGCAAAGAAAGAGGGTTGGGGAAAGTTTAGGAATGTCACATCGATCTGAAAAGCAGGGTTTAAATCTGACCATTAAATTTGGTATTATATGTAGCGCTTGACTCACTTTCTTTTGAATAGAAGGACTTGACAGAATAACTTGTCTTTGACCATGAGGTTCAACCTTCAAGTGTTGAAAAAAGTTATTCAGCATAATGAATGCACAGCTGATACAGTGTTACAGTCTGTCATGCTCTTGAGTTATGGTTGATGCAGACTTTCTGCCCTGAATATGTTGCAGGTAGTTTTTCTTCAAATGTCTCATGCCTTCTCTTTCACCACACCTTCACTGGAAGAGACAGTTAACTTCAGTTTGTTCCTTGCTTCCTTTCCTTAAAGGGACTGATTGCGTATGTATATATATATAAAACAGATGCCCACACCAGACACCCAGGGCCTCAAAGTTCACCAGCAGAAGCAGTTCATTAGTAGCTCATTCCTGCTGTTGGGGGAGTTTATTGAAAGCAAGAAGTGTGTTAGCAGAGCAGGGAGAGGGAAGACAGCTGGAAGATGATTAGAAGCGTCTCACTTGAAAGAACTGTTACTTGGTTTAGGTCCCCTCGTGTCTTTAATGATCATTAAAACATGAGATTGCTGACCTTTTGCTGCGGCGAGACTGTGGCTAAAACACCACTGATGCTCATTGCTTCTTTGCTTTTCTCTGCAAGGCGAGGGGATTTTTCTCTCTTTAGCATATCAGCTGATGCACAGCACAGAGGATTTCTGTTCTAATATGTGTTACAACCTGCACTGAAAACCCTTGAGGTTTTTCATGTCCTTTATTCTGTACGATGCAGCCTTGCTGTGCTTGGGAGCAAGTCATGCATCAAAGGTCACTGACGAGGAGGAATGGCTGTGTGTTCTGAGCTGGCATGCAGCAGGCGGCGGTACTCAGAGTGTTGTGGACAGATGCTGAGTAGGTTGGAGATATTGGGAAAGCTTTGCAGATCGTTTGGATCCCTGTTGTGGAAGCATGGGATGGAGGAACAGAACCACAGAATTGTAGGGGAAAGCACAGCTAAGAACAGTTCCAGAACCACAGAATGGTTCAATGGTTCCACGTTGGAGGTGGAAGAGACCCTTAGTGGCCATCAGTCCAACCGCCCTCACCCACAGCACATCAGGTGCTCAGAGCCCCCTGGCTGACCTTGGTGTCTGCAGGGACGGGCCATCGCTGCCTCTCTGGGCAACCTGTGCCACTGCCTCACTGCCCTTAGCGTGCAAAACTTCCTTACATCCAGCGAATATCTCCCCTCCTGTAGTTTGAAACCATTTCCCCTTGTCATGTCACAGCAGACCCTGCCTAAGAGTCTGTGCTCTTCTTTCTTACAGCCCCTTTAGATGCTGAAAGGCCACTTCATGTCTCCAGAGCCTTCTCCTCTCAGGGCTGCATGGCCCCAGAAAATGCTATAGTAATTGCTCATGTGAGCTTAGTAAATATGTTGCTTATATCAGTGTCTCTCTGAAACCCAGGAACAGGAACAAGTGCTCATAATTTTGCCCTGAAATACACTAGTAATGGATGCTAGATGTTTCCTGGGGACCTGGTTCCAGCCCAGAAACTTTCCTGCTCTCTTTGTATTCGATTCACTGTGCTTAAATCGCTGTAGTTTGTAAGGGGTGGGGACTGGAAGGCTTGTGCCACAGGTGTGATTTCATCCAAGTCTGCTAAGTCAGTTCTTATAACTTCCCAACTGGTGCTGGACTCTTCTGTTTGCGAGGAGGAGGTGGGCTATCTGTGGAACTTCAGGATGATGCTTTGGAAGTTGTGGTCTTTAAGTGTTTCAACTGAAAAGTGTCTCACTTCTTGTAAACAGAGCTGGTCCAGGTATGGGCTGTCATGTAGGTGGTTCTGCTTTTTGTTACTTGGTAGTTGAAATTTGAGAGGTTGATGGGTAGATTTAAATACTTCCAGCTTTCTTTTTAACAGTTCTGAATTGCCTGTGAGTCTTAATCCAGAACTAAGACAATAAAAATGTCTTTGCTCTAGGAATTAAAACTTAAAAATGCTGTTATTATTGTGCCTGCTTTTTTTTGAGCAAGCCTAGAACAGCAAATGAGGTGTAAAACAAATTAGAACATACACAGCCAGCACTGAAAATAAGCAGCTTATGCTTTCTTGTTGCAATTTACTGGAATTTCAGAGATCCATCTCCTCGGCCCTGTGCTGGAGCACAGTTAAAACACGTCAAGAGGAGAGCACCGAAGTTCAGAACTGCAGGGAACTCGTATCTCTGTGTTCTTGCTTTTCTCATTTGGTTGGTTGTTTTTTCCTGAGGGCTGCCAGAACTCGCAGCAGACCTCGCTGGCTGGGAAGTGATGTCACTGTATTGTCTCACCAGCGCCCCAGCACACAGTGGTTTTCCTTCTCTGTTTCAGCGTCAATGCCTGCGTCGACGTGGTTCTGTCCGGCGTGAAGTTGTTGGAGGCACTTGGTCTTAAACCCGGGTTGGGAAAGAATCATGACGTCCTGAACTCCAGACAGGACCTGAGAGAAGCATTCACTCACTTCATGGAGAAAGGAGCGGCTGCCGAACGCTTCTTCAGCGACGCAGAGTCCTTCCATCACATAGCACAGACTGCCTCGCAGCACCCTGGGGCACAGGTACGTCTTGCCCATGAAGATGAGGTTTGAGAAGCTTCTTTCTTATCTTCTGCATCATCAACAGTTCTGTTCTACCTAGGGAGAGCACGAGTCATTTGGGGAAGAAGCTATGCTATAGCTAAGAACAGAACTCTGCACTGAGTAGCAGGGCTTTGAATAGCCCATGCTTTGCTTGCATTCTTCAGACCAAAATGTCCATCCGAGATGGCTCTGTATGAATTCTACTGGAGATATTTTCATGTTTCATGGGAGCCAGATGGGGTTGATGATATCAAAGAGGCTCCAAAGTCTTGTAATGAGGCAGAAAGCAAGGAAGGAAATGGATTAAGTGTTAAGAACACTCCAGTTAGCTTCAGCACTTCAATGCAGGGTTCATATTCTCCCTAGAAGATGAGGTAATGATGAAAAGAAGGAATTAATTTACCTGAAGCCTACCTTCCCAGAAGCAAAGTTTTTTTGCTCTGGTTACACTGGGTCTTCTGAACCTACTTGGTACCAGTTAGCTCCTTGTCCCAAACTGTTTAATGCAGAAGCAGCTTCCACAATTCTGCTCACGTTGTGTGGGCACGGGTAGCACTTCTAACCCTGCCTGCAAACTGGATGAAATATTGTTGCAACTTTTAAATGACTGCTAGTTTGGTTTGCTGATTTAAACAAACAAACAAACCTGAAAACTTGCAGAGTTATGAGAGGGAATGTTTGTTACATATTAATTGATTCGTTAGAGGGTTGTGCTTTACCTGAGGACAAAGACTTAGGTTTCAAAAAAAACAGGGAACATGAAAGCTGTTGACATCTGGCAGAATTGTAGTTGTTTTGCCATCAGCCCCAGTGAGCTTTGCTGAATTCTCTCATGCTGGGACGTTTGCTGAAATGCTACAATCTTGAGTCTTCTGCAGGTGACTAAGCATGTGTAAAGCTATCAGAGCAAGGCAGTGCCCATACCTGCCCTTGTATTTTACAGCTTTACGTTGGAGGCAATGCTGCTCTCATTGGTCAGAAGCTTGCAGCAAATCCAGACCTGAAGGTAGGTGTTCCAAGAATTTCATGCTATTTGCTCATCTTTAATGAGGCTTAAAGTACATCCCTGTAGATTTGGGAGATTTTCTTAGGGTACAGCGGAACACGTCGTTGGCCTTATAGACTGAAAAGCACAGCTGACTTGTTTAATTCTTAATTCACATCTGTTGTCTAGGAAATGGTTGCTAGTTTATTGCTCCCTTTGAGTTATTGGCTTTTGTCTTCACGTTCCCTCAAATAAAACAAATACAAATCCTTGTGTCATCCTAATCCTCTCAATTTTTGCTCTCTTGTTTTAGTAGAAGCCGGTTTCTTTTTTCAGGTGGTCGTGTGGAGACCACATTGTTTGAAAGAGATCGGTGTAAGAACCTCAGTGAGGTTGGGAAAGTGAACAGAGCTTGGTTCTAAAGCTGTGCTGGCTTAAGTCAAGATTTCTGTAAAGTGAGCAACCAAACACTGAAGGGAATACATTTTCCTGTATGAGAGCTGTCTCACTCGTCAGCTGCTGTTGAGATCAACAAATTTGAGACTGATGCATACACGGAGTGGCTTTCAGAGAATAAGATGGCTACTTCTACGAACTGAAATGCTGGCAGGGGATCCCTGATTGGTTTTCTTGTTTCCTAGATCCTCCTTTGCGGCCCAGTTGGTCCCAAGCTCCATGAGCTACTAGATGACAACGTGGTTGTGCCACCTGAATCCATGCAAGAAAGAGATGAGTTCCATCTTATCCTGGAGTATCAAGCAGGTACCTTGCCAAAGGCTGAATGCTAGATGGGAACCCTGGACGTCGCAAAGATATTCCTGGTTTTAAAGTTTGTTGATTTGTTGTCGTGGGGTTTTTTGAATCAATTAATTCCAAAAGGCCCCTGTAAGTTATCAGTGCTGGCAGCTGTCAGTGGGCTAATCTGGTAATTCTTTGTGCTGCAGGGAGCTGTGGTAGGTAAACAGACACCTTACATTCCTTTGAAACTTTACTTCTTTGTAATGCAATTACTGTAAATGCTGTCTCATGCTGCTGTGCTGCCATCCCTTTGGTTCTGTATTCTCCTGTGCTACAGCCTACAGAAATGAAGCATACTTTGCACTTTGTTGATATCCTAAGCAGACATGGAGGTATAATTGGGCTGGCAGTAGCTGTTAGTTGGGAAATCATGCCTCCACATTCCAGCAGGCTATCCCCCAAAATAATCTCTGGATACCTGGTCTGATTTGCTTCTCTTCTGAATGTTTGTCCCACCCCAGGTGAAGAGTGGGGACAAGTGAAGGCACCCAACGCCAACCGCTTTATCTTCTCCCATGACCTCTCAAATGGGGCCCTCAACATGCTGGAAGTGTTCGTGTCCAGCTTGGAGGAGTTTCAGCCTGATCTCGTGGTACTTTCAGGACTGCACATGATGGAAGGCCAGAGCAAGGAGGTGCGGCACAGACGTCTTATGGAGGTAAGACACTCAAACGCCAGCATCTCCTTAACTTCCATTCCAACAAATGCGCCTCAGCAAACTTTTGGCTTCCCAGGCTTGAAGTTGTAAGTAGGCCACATCTTCAGGTCTCTGCATGCTACAAGAAGAATGCAAACTGGAAGGATGGCACAGTCTAGTCTTGTTGGATTCCGTGGGTTGTCTACAGCAAAAGAAGTTCTCTGTTAGTGCTGACTGGCTGGCTGGGCAGACTGATATCGTTCTTGGAGCCTGGGTAGTGGCTGATTACACTTCTTCTGTTCCACATGCTAAGATGATCAAAGTTATAATCAAGACTTCTTTAAGTGTTATCTCTTAGATAACCCAAATGCCAACATCTGCTTTTGAGCCCTAGGGAGCTGTGCCAGGTTGCCTGTCTCACACCTGAGTGCCCATCTCAATGCACTAGTCTTTTTCCTCTTCTAACATCGACTGTTTTATGGCTGTTTCAGACATCTCACGTTTCTGAAACAGACTGCAGGAAAACTGATTATAACCTAATCTACCCCCAGCTCAGCTCTGGAACTCTGAAAAACACAAGTTGTTTGAAGTCGTTCTTATTCCCTTTAGCAGGAATGTGTTTTAGATGTTTTTGCCTTTGCCCCTGCAGGCGGTAGCCTCCATCTCTGACATTCCTACTGACATTCCTATACACCTGGAGCTGGCCAGTATGACTGATCAGGACTTTATGAGCAACATTGTGCATCAGGTAACAAAAATGAGAGGACGTGCTCTTTTTATCGGTTTCCTTTTCTTTAGTATCACAGTGTACAGCCTGGTGGATGAACAGAGAAAGGAAAACTGGAAATTAGTTCTCTTAGTCCCTTTGATGAAAAATTAAGAACGTGGGTTTAATGCCAGCTGATGCATTCTGAACACTTTGAGTTTTCTCTGCTGATGTTAACAGCTCAATGCAGTGACTTGGGGCTTAGCAGAGGACAGATCTGTTTTTTTCAGCTCACAGAGTATGGTCTCCTTGCAAGTTTCATTGGTTATCAGGTCACCTTCACCAAAGAGTAGCATTTTTTGCAGATCTGAGCTTATTCAGCAGCTGTTCAACAAACTTGCTGTGTAGACATAGCATGGGCTCTGTTCTCTCTGGTGAGGTTGTCTGGCCATCAGGGAAAGATGACCAAGGAGAATGTCACAACTCCACAGGTACAAGTACCATCAGTTGGTTTAGATATAGCAGGATTGCAGATTTCTATTTAAATTTGAGCGTTTTAATTTCAACAAACTAAATTTCCTGCAGTCCTTCCTTCTTGCCAGTCCTGATGGTCCACTGTCAAAGCTGACACGGTTCCAATCCCAGTCTTAGGAATGTTTCGTGTGGATTTGATACTCAATTCTCCTTAAAGTGTGTCTAGAAAATTAATTGCACAAGATGTACAATAGTCAGCAGACTGTAACACACTTCTGTAGAATGGATGAGAACCGATCTCTCTCCGAGAGAAAAAATCCTGTTCCCATGTTGCTGTTAGCAGGTCTTTCCCCTGGTGAACTCCATCGGTCTGAACGAGCAGGAGCTGCTCTTCCTCACACAGTCAGCCTCTGGTCCCCACGCCTCCCTGGCTTCCTGGAACGGCGTCCCCGACGTGGGTGCCGTCAGCGACATCCTCTTCTGGATCCTGAAGGAGCACGGGAAGACTGCGGACCGGGCCTCGGATCTCACACGGATCCACTTCCACACGCTGGCCTACCACATCCTCGCCACAGTGGACGGGCACTGGGGCAACCAGGTGGCTGCCGTGGCTGCCGGCGCCAGAGCGGCAGGGGCGCAGGCCTGCGCGACAGAAACCATCGATACTAGCAGAGTCTTTCTTAAAGCTCCTCTGGAGTTTGTCACCTCCCAGATAGAGGCTCCTTCCAAAATATCCTTAAATCCAGACGAGCCAGTGGTGCATTGGCACAGAGAAGGCATCTCCTTCCATTTCACGCCTGTTCTGGTGTGCAAAGATCCCGTGCGGACCGTGGGACTCGGGGATGCTATCTCAGCTGAAGGACTGCTATATTCAGAAATAAATCTTCAGTAGAAGACCGAGGTCCCCTTTGTCTCCAGTACTGTACGGTGTCTGAGGAACCGTGCTGTTATCACTAGGATTTCAGCCGGCGCTGATATAGGAACAGAGTCAGGGTGCGGTGTGTTTTCTGGGTATAACAGAAGAGCCAAAGAACAATTCCAGGTGTAAACCGTCAGATACATTCCAGTCGCTTTGCAGTGACTAGAACACCTCACGTTTAAGTGCAGAGGTTTTCATATTTAATGTGAAAATTGGCTTTTCTTTGTCTTAAGTATTTGGGGGGGGACACAATCAAAATCCACATTTGGAGGAGGTCTGCTCTTTGTAACTGCACGTGGGTTTGTCTGCTAGTGCTGGAAAATGTGGCAGCCCTGAGAGCTTCCTCCCCATGGATCCCAGGGAGAGCACAGTGCTGCTCAGCCCTGTCTTGCTTATGATAAAGTAAAAATAGAAAACTCCTGCATTATCTCCTCCCAGCACATGGCTAGGTGGCAGGAGCAAACCTTCCGCTCGCTCCATGTGCTGATGAAATCTGTTCCTGCCAAAATTACCTCTCAACCTCAGTGCCCCTGCGGCGGAGGGAGCCAGAGCCCGAAAATGTGATGCACGCTGTACCTGCTCCTTCAGTGCACAGGTGGGCTCAAGGCAGTTTAAATTATTTTGGGTATCTGTTCTTTCTGTGACTGACAGGATTCGACTCGTTGCCTGCAGTTAGTCTTGGGGCAACTGAAAGTGAAGATATTCAGGGTTTATATTTGGGGAGACAGCTTTATTTTTTTGTCGGGTAAACAACAAAACGTTACCTGTGTCTGCTACGTGCTGAACCCCAAGAGCACAGCCACAGGGGCTCGCTGCTTGCTCCCTTTGCTAACAGCTGCTTATGTGGGGTGCTGTACAGCTTACAGCAACCTGTTGAGTGCTGGAGACTAATTTTTTGTTGGGAACTCCTGAGCAGTTTTCTACAGTTTTGCTGCCTTCTGTTCAGATGGATTTATTAGGGAAGGGCCCTCAGAAGCTCTAAGTGTTTAGCAGGGAAGGCTGATGGGAGCTTTTTTTCCTTTGATGAGGTCACTGTCTTTGCTCTGGACAGCCTTTTAAATTAAAAAAAAAAAAAATTAAAATAGAGCTGTGTCTTATCAGTCGAATTGAATAGTGTCATGGCCTTGCTAGTTTAGAAACCTTGTTTAATCTGTGTATTGTTTAATACGTTATTTATATTTTTTACCTTTTGCTAACAGCCCATCACTGATTGCACAGCATCAGTATTCTTTCTGTCTCTTTTCCAGCATAGCTTTGTCTCTGCCACTTCCAGTTCCTATTTCCATAGCTATCATACGGATATTTTCAGTGTGACAGTTAAATGTGTCTGTGCAAACCTGTGCTGTACCAGGATCGTAGGTCATCCGAGCAGCAGGAGGAGAGTCAGGATCACCGAGGCTGGAGCGACCTGTTTCAGCAAGGCTGCTGTATGGCATTTAGTGACGTCCTCCTGGTGGAAAACACCATTGTGAATGCTCTGTAAGGACAAAGATTGACAGCTGTTTGAACTTTTATGGACACCATGCAAAATGTTATCTGTCAGCATGTATTTAACTGCTCCTCTCCCTCTGAGCAAAGTCGTCTGTGAGACGAGAGAAACGGTCAGTGCTGTGTTTTCCCACTGCGTGTCCCACGCTGGCCTCCCGCTGACTCTCAGTGTGTATCTCAGTGCAGGATCTCCTCAAGACTGGACGCCTTTCTCTTCAGTGTCTTTTTAAAAGTTATTATTTATAAACTGTAGCGCGGGACTCGAAGTTCTGGTTTAGTCTTCCTACAGGAAAAAAAAATAACAAATAAAAAACGTCTCCTGACAACCGTCTGCAGGTCTGAGGCCGTCAGCAGGGGCGTTGTGTAACCTTTGATCATGGCTGGCTGGGACCACCAGCAGCTTCCCTGGCATCGGACCAGGCAGCGTGGATTCTCAAGCGGGAAAGGAAAGCAAACCAAACCAAATACACACAGCTGTCACGAGCGCTGGTCCTGCTGCTCTGCTTCCCCGTTCTCTTCCAAAAACATTTGCTGATAGGAGGCTTGTTGGGCTGTGGTAGCCTATTTTGGCTATTTAAAGTCAGGTAACTGTCCCAAGGGTAACTTTGGCTTGTACTCAACACAAATATTACGAGTTTAGATTCAATCTGCTTTCACACACCTTGTTGAAATGGAAACGGGCAGCAGGTTTTTAGCACAGGATGAAAGAGCTCCCCTGAAGTACTTTTTAAGTGGGAGGGCTGGAACTTGTCCCTGGACTGGTGTTTTCATCCATCCCCACTGCATTATTGTTGCTTGGGTGCTTTGTTTTGTTTTTGCTGTGAAACACAGCCGGAGCACATCTGGCAGGACTTTTGTGGCCTGTTTGTCTTATGAGTATTCAGTGGTTTTTAATGGACTGGAGAACCAGTGGCATGAAGCAGGGAAAGTTTGGATAAAAGCACGGAATTAAGTTTAAACTCAATGATCATACCACAGTAGTAGCTTCATTTTGGGGAAAAATAAATACACCTGTAGATTTGTTGGTTGAAATACCAGGACCAGAACCCTTAACTAAGTCTGTCTCACATCCCACAGTCAGGCAGGGAGGAGATTTGAGAGGGAAATTGGAATATTGAAGCTTGTCTTTGTGCTTTGTTTTACAGGTTTGAGTGGCTGGGGAAGCAAACCTCTGCTGCATGTTCAGCCTCACACTCCCAGACCTCACTCCTGTCTGCCTTCCCCTCTAGCAGCAGAGTCTGATGAAACTCTTTAGCCAAACTTCATTGTAGACGCAAAAACAATCTCTCCTCTGTTCAGAGATGTCAGATTAAGTTCTCAATCTCTTCTCGATAGATGCAGGTTGGAAACAGCACGCCTGGGCATTGCCTTCTGCACCAGAAACCTGAGAGAGGCATTGGTGCCAAACAGTCACTGTCCCCTTGGAAGGTGAACCTGCTACCAGCCCTCCCTGAGTTCATAGCAGCTGAAGGAAACAAATCCTGGCAGCTAAGGGTGAACCACTGCATTAAAATGCAAGCGGGGGAAACAAATATTCTGAAAGCCTCACCTGTGATCTTCTCAGGAGAGCTGCTCAGCACAGCCTGGTTAAAACTGGATTCAAAGCTCATCTGTTTCAAGAACCACTGCAGAAGACTGATTTTAGCACGGTTTGGTTTCAGAGGGTGATGCAAGCTTTCCTTGTGGAACTGCTTTCATAGAAACTGGCCCTGGCAGACGAATCACTTGTATTCTGTGTCCTTTTGTAGTGTATCTATGTGTGGAACTTATTCCTTAGTAAAGCTCACCGTTCTCCGTTCAGCGCTGAGGTTTGCTTGCCTCTGCAGAAAAGTCCTTGCCCCTGCCACGAGGGAAATCCCCCACGCTCGTGGCCTATGCAAGGCAGGGTCCACCTCGCTCACCTCGTCTGCCCGTGACCACAAGAGGGCAAACACGGCAGCGGCTGGGTGCTGCATCAGCCCGCATCCCGCTGCTCCTGGCTGAAGCAAGCTCTTGCTGCCCAGGCTTCGAGAGCTGCGGTGTCTTCTGTTTCTTCCCCGAGAGGTCGTCAAGTCACAGTGCGCCTTGTGTAAGCACTTTGAATTACCTTATTAACTGATGAACTTTTTTTTTTCTGGAAACAAAATGTCCTAAAGCAGGTGGCTTCTGCTTCCCTAGAAATTCAGCTCATTATTCTTTTCCATCTTATGTTTTCAGTTAGGAGGGAAAAATAAAACCAATGCCAAAGTAAGAATTATGGCTGATGCCAGAAGTGGCTTTTGGAACACAAGTGGTGCTTTCCAAATTCCTTCTGTGATTTGGTACAGGCCTGCTGAAAAACCCCTTGCTTATTTCAGTTGAAGGAACAGTCCAACCTCATTCCCATCACTAGAGAGCATAGAAAGCTTCTATAAATACACTGTGAATTTTCTGTATGCAAATACTGCCGCTGCAGCCCTCGGGAGGAAGAGGAGAGGGGACGGGACAAAGCAGTGCAGTAATATTTATTATCCAACATAATTACATATTTAAAAACACCTCCTCAGACACGAAGCTCCCTTCTGCTCCCTTCCAAAGCAGAAAGTAACAAGGTGCTACTGTTCTTTTTCACAGAGAATTAATCCTCTGCATAAAGCTCTGTACCTTTGAAGGAATATTTCTAACACCTTCACAGTGCCTCCCTCAGCAGCACACCCCATCAGTAACACACAGCACTTGCCCTATAAGAGCCCCTAGCAGCCAAGAGAACAGGTGGCCCAGGTGGGACTGGGTGAGCAAAGAGCCTCACGTGCCTCAGGCAGGCTGTGGTCCTGGTTCCTATGGCCACCTACGAGATGAGGCTGCTCCCCCAGAGCAGTTCCTTAATGCCACAGTCCTGAAGTTAAACCTACCCTCCTTACAACAAGCAGCTGGAGAAAAAAGCTTCCTGTGTCAGCAGTGCTGTGACCACTCTGTTCCACACGCTGCTCCTTAAATGGAACTTCCCAAACCTGCCACCCATTATGGTAAGCCCAAACAATGACAAGCAATGGCTACAGAAAAATACACCTCGAACAAAAGCTTTAGGGGCTAGAGATCATTCCCAGCCCACCCCTGCTCTGTACTCCTGGCCTCCTGCACAGACACTCCTTGACACCGCAGTGATCTGCAGTGTAAAAAGTTTAATGCAAATAAAATAGCTGCACTGTACCTGAATTACACTGCAGCTCGTCTGGTTTGTTTCAGTTGGTGGCTGCTGCACAAAACCTCTGATTCCTTTTGCTCTAGCACAAGGAAAGCATTAAAGAAGTGCTGCTGCAGGGATGGATTGATAGAAAGCCAACCAGCAGAGGACAGATGAAACGAAAAGAAGCCACATTTGAGGTAAGCAGGTAGTTTTGGCAATCAAAACAGACAAAGCAAAGGGATCTTACTTTTAGTGGCCCCAGGGGAGCAGGGCAACACTTTGGGTCCCTGCTGCACTCTAAAAGCACATCAACATCGCTCTGGATAAAAGCAGCTAGCCAGAAAGAGCTGCTGGAGGACGTTAAGGTATCCAGGGCCGTGGTCATGCTGCTTTTGCAGGCTGCTGCAGGAGGTTTCCATTACAAACCTCACTCCACTGGATGTGTCGATTATGAAATCATGAAAAAAAACAGGAGCTTATTTTTAAAAGCTCATCAGGCTTATTAGCATATGAGCCGAGCCTTCCTGAAGCTACAGCTTCTTTGGGCTGAAAGTGCTGCACTTTCTGCTTGGAAAAGCAAAATCCCAAGTCCCACAGCAACACAACTCTATGCAGCGGGGAGGAAGAGTGAAAACTACACTTACTTAACCCAGTTACTGGTTCCTTACGTAAAGCATGACAGGCTCAGCTTAGTTCCCCAGCACAGTTGTTTTGAGGGCCTGTGTCAAGCTCTGGATAAATCAATCCCAGATGCAAAAAAACTGACAGAAGCGGAGAAAGGAAGGCTAAGATTTTTCTCTTTGAGAATAAAGATGTTTCTCCAACATCTCAGTAGCACAGGGGCATTAAGATCTCTTGCTCTGCTCACCACGGGGCTACTTTGCCTTCTTGCAGCTCGCAGAACTGAATCTCCTGAAAGTCTCACAAGGAGGACATAACTCCGTTCTTCAGAGCATGGCTGCAGCTTTACTGAAAGAAATTCAGCACTGAAGCTGACCATGGCAAGCCTTCTCAGAAAAGATCTTTATTTTCCCCGGAAACCAATCTTTGCCCCATGTTGGGAATACTAATTCTAAAGGAACAACTTCAATCACAGGAGCACAGGGCTTCGCTGAGCCTCATTCACCCTGTTTCTCAGCAAAGAACTTGGAATTTAGGACTGGCTGACTTCTGTGCTGCTGCACACTCCCTGCTGAGCCGCCATCCTCCCCCCTCCTGAGGAAGCAAGGGGTGACTGCACTCGCAGCAGCCACGCAGTGTCCTCAGCTGATTGCCTCGGTGACTCCCGGGACCAGGCAGAGACCTCGTGCTAAAATCACTGACAGAAACGCCACCTCTATGCTAACTGACAGCGGGATGAAGCCACTCCAGGTCACAGGAGGTCGGGTCGGGTCAGGCCCACGCCTGCCCATCCTACTCTGCGGCCTGACGGCTCTTGTGCTTCTCCTGCCGCTGCTCCTCGGCCTCTGCTGGCGCTGAGGTCACCTGTGGGCCTGGCTGTGAGCCTGGCTCTGGTTCCAGGGGCAGTGAGGGAGGCTTTGCGAGGGGAGTGGATGCTCCGGCACCTGGGGAGAGAAGTGAAGGGATGATTGCATACATTCTGTGCATTCTTTGGCACCTCTGAGCAGCGTGGAGACACAAAACAACTGCAGCTCTTCTTTATTCTGATTTCTTCTGCCTAGCATGAAATGTATCAGCAGCACTCAACTCTTCTGCAACTTACCCAGCCAGAGACATGACAGTAGTTGGAACTCTGCTGAAAAGAAGCTGAGGCAGTTTCTCATTTAGCTGGGCTGCCACAATAAGTCAGCAGAAACTCAGGAGTTAACTCAAGCTTTGGTAGGGAAAATAGTTCCACTGCATCTGATTTGTACTCAGACTGTAACCAAAGCCACAGCGCAGTTCTCAGCTCACAGTTTTAGCAATCTCAGGGAGAGCTTCCCAGCGGTTAGCAGCTCCTTACAGAACAAAATCAGAGCAGGATACTGCCACACCAGAGTTATTTCTACACTTATATCTAAGCTGATAGCTAATCTTACGAGCCAGCTTTGCTGATGTGGATGATAAGGCCTTTCGGGTAACCCCTGAATTTCCACTTTTTTATTTTTCAGCTTCCATGAGAAATGGAGCAGGTCCTTAGGGGTGCCACAGAAATGGCCTGGATTACACAACCTTCCTCCTGTGCCACAAACCACAGGAAACAAAACACAGAGAGACAGAACATCGCTGCAGTGAGCAGTGTCTCCACTGCACTGCTCCTGGGAAGCTGAGGGGTGAGAGGAGGTCAGGATGAAAGCGATGGCTCAGGAGATGCTCCCACACAGCAAGCTGCAGCACATACAGCTATCAGCCTAAGCCTTATAAGGCTGAAGGGAGCTCTGTGTAAGTAAGTAAATACCTCCCTAAACACATGCCATAACCAAAGGGAGAGAGGTTTCTCTTCTCCTTTCCCATGGTTTCACTTCACAGCAATGCGAAAGAGAGGTACCTGATGGCAGCTGCATGCTTTTCCCATAGCCAGCAGCTGAGGACATGGCTTGACCCAAGGCCTGGTTGGAGCCCAATGGCTTCCCTGACGGAGCAGCTCGCTGCTTGGATTTAGACTCTTTAGCAGGCCTCGTCCAGACTTGGCTCTCCCCGACCTGCAGGGCAGTTCCCATCTTTTGGGCAACCTCCACCATCTTCTCAAACAAAACAAAAAGAAAAGACCCTGATAGACAGGTACACTTCAGACAACAATGAAGTCAACAGAGAAAAAGAGCTGTGCGGGGCTGGCAACTGCCTTGGTGCTCGAGGGAAACATCTCCACTAATTCATTCTCTTAATTAAGAGGGAATCTTGTCTTGCTGCGTATTGATTGAAGAACTGGGCTTCAAAGAGCAGAAATGAAGCACGCAGCTCGCAGCAGGTGACTGCTCTACTTAGAGCAGTCTTAGAAAATCTCATAAGCAGAATTTTTCCTAATAATTGGACTCAAAAGTCAAACTTCCCCCTTGTTTGTTGCCAGCCTTAATGTGGCCATTTAGTTCCCGCTGACAACTCTCAAGCACATACCTCGGGGTCAAAATCCAGAGTGCTGCTCTCCTTCAGTGCAACGACCTTCTTCTCCATCTCCTGGTACTGGCAGAGGGCCCCCTGCTTGTCGCCGTGGTTATACAGCAGCACGGCATAGTTCAGGTTGACGAGGGGATTGCACCTGCAGCACACACAGCACGTTTGTGATCACTGTGGGAGGAGAGGTGATCTCTGTGCTGGTTACCTCGGGTTACCCACAGTTCTGCTGGTTGGTGGGAGAGCGCTCGGGGTGGGTCAGCTCAGCAGGAGCACCTCACTGATGGTATTCCACAGGCTGACACACTACAGAACACACTGTTTACAATTCATTTTCCCTGCCTCCTCTCACTCCCTCCCCAGTAAAATGTAAAAGTGTGCGTGCTGCCGTAGGGGAACATCCAGAGAAGCAGAACGCACAGGTACTGTCTGACACAGAAAAATGCAAGGCGGGCTCTGCCCCAGGAGCTCCTGCTCTCTCACCCAGGCTCAGCCCTGGAAAAGCAGAGGCCGCCTGTGGCCAGACCGAGGCGCAGACGTGCATCTCTGCACACAGGAGAGTAAGGGGCGCTTTGTGCGTTTTGCTCAAGAAACACGAGGGACTGCTGCCCTCTCCTGGAGCACGGCTGGGACAGCTGGAGCCGTGCAGGTCCCTGGCACCGCGCCTCCTTGGGGAAAGGCGCAGGAGAGCAGGCTGCTACCGCTCAATAAACAGCAAGTGTCATCTGCAGGCCAGGGCCATCCATCCTCACTAAGTTATATGATGGGGCTGCAAGGAAGAGACCATTAGAGAAACCTGATAGCATTCATAACCATTGGATTTCCTTTAGCGGAGAAATTGGAACACTGATCCTGCAATAAAAACACATCCGGGCCAGGCAGTTCCTGACCTGCCAGGGAAGGAAGCCTGTGGGGACAGGGATTCAGCCATTAAGTAACTGTGGGAAATGCAAGGCACGTCAGCTGAACGAGGCCTTACAGTCTCTGGATGTTCCTCCCAGCAGCCACTAGCAGCTGGGGTTCATTTTTGCTTTGATTGGGTTTGATTTTCCCAGTAAAACTGAAGCTGTAGCATCTTGCTTCTGCCAAATCCTTAGGCAAAGTAGTGGAGCTACATTTCTATTCCTTCTCTCTGATCAAAGGGCAGAAACCCACAACTTTGTCTGAGCAATCTTCAGATCCTGCACCCCCTGCTAGGCACGAAAGTCTGACCAGGAAAGCCAGGCAGAGAAGTCGACTGGACATTGGTCAGTAATTTTGGTAGGAAGGGTTGATGCATAACTGCAAAATGCTCTCACACTGCAATGCATTTGCAAATGTCTGACGATGGCTCGTACAGGTTCAGTTTCTCTGAGGCTGCTCAGACGTACTGACATTTAGAATGGATGCAGAAGCAACATTTAGATCTACTCTGCAATTGCGTCGACACATAAAACTCATGCAGAACCTCAGAACCAGATGGATGCTCTGTCCTGCATGCAAGCCATGCAATTCTCAACAAAAATCTCAGAGTATTTACAAAGAGAACTGCACTACGGCGTCCAATGCTAATTTCTGAAACCTGAAGCTTGTTTTAATGGGCTTGGAAACTTCCAGAACCCTTTAGTTCCAGAATTAAGCCTGGTGTGGACTAGGCTGGAGGGGAACAGGGAGCAGTATTCCTTTAAACACACCAATACATGCCACCTCATGGTGACTGCAGATGGAAAGAGCCTGCCCTGCAGCTCTGCTGCCAGCATACAAACTGCTGGGCTCAGGAGCACTGTGCTGGCTGCTCCAAAAGCATGCCAATATTTGCATAAGCTGGGGAGGAGGATCACCTAATAGTTAATATCTGAAAGGTAAAACATGAAAGGTAAAACAAAAGAAAAACCAGACACAGGCAGCCAAAACTATTCATAGATTTGAGACAACACTGTTTTTCTTCTGCTTGAAACAATGGCAATAACCATCTTTAATACTGAAAGGCTCATTTTAACATTTCTAAAGCAGGTGCTCTGACCTTAATAGCTAGATTCCCAATACTGACATTGCTTGTAAAACAGAGGAGGAAGGGCTGCACCACACTCCCTTTTATATGCTTTGTATTGGTTTCTTCCTCCCATTTTTTCCAGCTAAAATCTTCCCTCTGCCCAGTTCAGAAAGGCTTTATCCCAGAAGTCTCTCGGTGCTCTGTGCAGTGCTCGAGCTCAGTTACAAAATATTCTGGGATGAATGGTTTACTCAATCTGCTCCATATTCCCAGGAAGAAAGACTGGAATTCAAAGCCATCATCTCTTGACTCACTAAATAAACAGTAAAATAAAAACCAGCTTTGGTTTGGTCCCAAATTTTCTTTCATTTCTCAGAACTGAATGAAAAAAGAAGGTTTTAAAGCTGCTTTGCACTGCTTCTGGAACAAAAATGTTTCCTTGGTGCAAACTTAAGAGTCAGAGGAGGGAGGGATAAAGCACGTGAAGGAAATCAGGTACAGGAAGGAAAAGCAACGTGATCAACTGACCAGTATGATTAAGACTTACTTGTCCAATGCCACAGCTTGCTCATAGGAACGTTTTGCATTCTCAATGTCTTCAAGGTTTGTCAGAGCAACTGTACCAAAGGAAAACATATAGAAGGTGTGATGCTTCATAAGGACTTCACTTTTAGGATAATACTCAATGTCATTTGTTCACAAGTACAACTTGTGTCCAATACTTGTTTACTTCAGCCCAAGCTTTCCCTCTGAAACACACTGATCTCCCAGGCTGGCTACACACCAGAGCCTGGCAACAGTACTTCATTACCTGCAAGGAGCATATACAGCTCTCCCATCTTGGGCTGGAAGTTGATGGCAGCACTGAGGAAGTGGAAAGCAGATGCGTACTGCTGCATTGTGAGGTGGACTAAGCCCAAATTGTACAGAATCTTCCAGTCAAAAGGAGCCAGGTAGTTCGCCCGCTTCAAGCAACTGATAGCCTGCAGCAAAGGAAGAGGTGTGCTGCACAGCAGTGCACCCAGAGAGACCTCCCATCTGCCCCAGCAGGGCTCTTGGTTCAGACAGGTGAAAGGAGAAAGGAAAGCACACTCACAGCGACGTATTTCTTCTTGCCAAAGAAGCACATCCCAATGTTGTTCCACAGGGGAGGGCTTTCAGGCAAGCTGCTGGCCACTGCCCTGTATTTGGACAGGGCAACGTCATAATCTCCGTGGGCCTGCATCATGCTGCCAGCTGCCAACGTAGCCTTCAGGAGGAGAGAGACCAGCTGAGGGCGTGCGCTTCCCCAAGCACAACAAGAAGGCAAGGGGACAGAGCTCCTAAACTAAAGCCATCTCAAGAGGAGCTCTTCCACATGTTTCCTTCTGGGAGCTGCCAAGATCAACAGCCTGGGGCTCTAGAATCTCTGAGCACAAAGTGAAGTCAGGGCAAGGAAGGACTCAGGCCCACTTCTTGCCTTATCCCAATCATAAGTGCCTCAGAAACACTACAGTGTGAGAAGGTGCTCAGTACGGTATGGTATGTAGCAGGGTATGTTGTGGGCTGCAGGGTGCCTTTGGAGCCTGAGTCTGTGAGAAGATCTATGCACTCCGTTCCATTTCACCAAGTAAAGACAGAAATGGGGCTGGTGTAACTTAACAGGAGAGTTTAAAAAAAAAAAAGAAAAAAAAAGCAAGCAAGCAAAGCTAGCCTAGTTCACACTGACTGGATGATACTGCAAATTAATGGAAATATGCATGGAGGGGAAGGCAAGCGATTGCAACACACTATATTTAAACCACACTAAGCTGGCTGAGCGATTTATAGTACACTACAGTGACAAGTAAAACTTGTAAGTGTAAAGGTGTTTTCACAATAGCATTTGGCTTGTATTCAGCTGTCAACCACACGTTTCCACTCTATACATTGCTAACATCCTACAGGAGGAGAAGGAGGCACAGAGAAATACAGCAGCATGTCCAAAAAGGGAAACACTTTCACAGCCAGCAATGATACCTAGATGCCAAGCTCGGCTTTCCAGACCAGAGCCAAGGAAAAGTCACACCTGTATTCAACAGCTGGAAGCACAGACAGACTAACAGCAGATGGGAAGACACTACAGCGGTTCATTTCCACTCCTGATACCTTGTAGTTGCCCTGGTCATAAGTGAGCGCCTTTCCAAGGTGTTCAAAAGCCTTCTGGTAATCGCCAAGCTGGGAAAAGAAGCAAGGATGAGAAGTGCAGCAATAAGGGCTTCAGAAAGAGAACACACTTTCTGGACACCAGAATTCCTGGTTCAATTAAAACAAGGACTCAGAAAAGTGAATTTTACAGTGCTTCTGATTACCAAACAAGAAGGTGTGTGTGTCGTTAAGTAATGCACTAAACAAATGCTAACCATGGATTTTGCTGAGCAGGATTCACTGTTCTGAGCAAAACAAAGGTTTCTGCACTGTCTGTGCTCTGACATTTCTATACGGTGAACTCAAGTCGATGTTCCTCTGCTCCTTTGCCTCTGCCATAAAACAAATTGCAAATCCTCACCACAGTGCCCCCAAGGGCCCCTGGCACTCCTCACATGGAAAGAAGTCTCCCTTCTTTTCCTCTATGGTGCAGTGGTGCTAACCATTTCATGGCTGCTTTTGTAGCAGATTAACTTGCTGGACCACAGCTCCAGCAGCAAGGTAATGACTGTACTTGGAGGATTTATAACAGAATGAAGGCAGCTGCCAAACAGAATTCCTGCTCTGGCTCACATCCAGGAAATCAACTTGCTGTTAGCAGCAAAAGGAAAAAGGAAGACACGGAAAAGCAAACTGTCGTGTGAAATACAGAAGTGTGTGCAAGTCAGCTGAGGACAAGACAGAAATTAACTCATCATTTTTTAAATAAATAAGTTCATACAATAACTAGTTAGCAGTTTTCAGTACCTGCAAGTAAATTAACCCCAGTTTCGTAAGGAGCTCTGTATTTTCTGGAGAAAATCTGAAATACAAAAGCCAGAGAGCTGCACTGTTTATTGGCCCCTCTAGAACAAGGTAAAAACAGAATCACTTTGCTACATTACACTAGTAGTACACCAGGAAATTAACCATTAAACCCAAACACTACAGCAGTTACCATCACAGAGACCAACAGTACATCTAAGCTTCCAAAATGCCTTATGGATGCTAATGGGAAGTGAAGGTAGCTCTGTGAAAAAGACCTGGTGGCACAATAAGATAACGTGGCTTTATTAATCTCCACAGCGAGCCTGCATCAGTGACCTGGAAATAGAAAATGGGATTTCCCACTGTCCCTCATAAACCATCCTGTAAATCCACTGCCAGCTTCTTGGGCCACGTGGGAGAGGCAATCCTCAGTGCTTCTGATGGATTCTACACGTTCATCACCACACTGGCAATTCACCCTGCCATAAGATTCCAAGCTGCTCCCTGCTCACCACAGCCTTGTGCTGCACTGCAACTCACGGTGCTCAGACAGGCACCACCCTGGTGCTTAACACATCTCTGATGATACACGCCGCTGTTCAGCACAGCAAGGCTTGAGAGAAACAGATCCTTAGCATTTTCAATTACTGCAAGCAACTCCCAAACCCTCATTGCTAGTTTGAGGCAATGCTGTGAATGCTTCTAAATGCAGCCCCACTCCCAGATGGTTTGGATTAAATAAATAGGCTGCAAAGGACAACAATAACAAAAAAGTATAAAAGGTCACCATACGTTTGTGGCCTCACTTACCCTGCTATCAAACCTTAATCAATCTCAACCTGAGCAAAAGCTGTGCCTGCTGGTACGTACCCAGAGAGCAGCTGCTAACAGCAGGCAAAATGTCATGGGCAGATAAGAAAAGGGAAGGAAAGGGGCACCACGGTAACCAATATAAAGCTGGTAAGATGCTTAGCAAGGATTGTTTACGTAATGAACATTCTAGATTAGTTCAAACATCTACTCAACCCAACATACTGTCAGACAGCAGCCAAAAGCAGGTGTGTAAGGAAACAGCGTACGAGAACAGCCAGTACAAACTGTAGATCCTCCTCTGGCTTCTGGCATGCTCCTGCTTTCCTTTAGTGTTCTGCCCACATTTGAAAAGCACTGCTAAATCAGGCACTCAGGAATGCCCTAAAACAAGACAGATCAGTACTGAGAAATGGTGACAGGCTGGGAGAAACTCACCGTGTACCAGCCCATCTCCTTTCTGCCTACTCACTCTCCTTCAAACGCAAATCACTCTAAGTAAAAACAGCATGCAAAACCCAACAATTGATTTTTGAGAGACAGACAGGGTTACAGAGACAGCTGGGGTGAAATTTCTTCGGTAGATAAGCCTTTGGGATTTATGAAGTCAGCTTGAGACGTGTTTGCTCCCAGGCATTTCTGCCCATTTGTTTTCCACTTTTTCTTGGCAGACCTTCAAGCAGCTCCCTTCTTCCCTGACACGCTGTCAGCAGGAGGAGGACTACAGCTGAGAGCAGAGACAGCTGAAGAGCTCAGAAAGTGCTTGCTTTGCACAGAGACTAGAACCCCCATTAACTTTTTAATTGTGCCCTCAATTCAAATCTAGGACACCATCAAATTCCTGCTGGCACATGGACAGATAGAAAAAAAAAATAATAATAAAATAAAAGGTGTGTGTATATATATATGTATACATTCTTACTCTATTGCTTTCTTATAGACTTCAATGGCTTTCTCAGTCTCCCCCTCCAAGAGGTGAATTTTTCCCAGCATCATGTAAGTCAGATCATGTCTGTTCATCTCCAGGGCATTGTTTAGCTGGTCTCGTGCCTAAACACACAACCACAGAGAATAAAAACATAGTCAGTGATTACAGAGCAAAGCAACAGCCCAAAAGCAATCCATAGCAGCTAGGGAAAGGGAACAGCTAACACCCCCTGAGCTCAGAGAGCCCTGCTAGCAAACTCTACCCAGCTAAGTGTTGAAACAAGTTCTGCATCAGGAACCAGCTGCTTTCTGGGACAGAAAAAACTAAGTGGCATACTTGGAGCCAGGAGGAGAGGCAGTGACCTCCCAAGGAAGAGAAGACCAGAGTTCCCGTGTTTGAAGTTGGAAGAGGGAAGCCTCAGATTTGCTAGGTTAATACCCAGGTATCTTACATTTTATTCCTCACTACAGTGCTTACTCCAACAGCAAGCACGGATTGCCAGATCAGCCAGAGGAATCAATCACCTCAGCCGAGGGACCAAAACTCCACTCCAAGTTCTTTACTGGTTACAAAGCATGAGCAGCACTGCCCACACTCCAGCTAGGCCTCTCTGTGTCTTTTACTCCAGGCTTGGTGCAAAAACCAGCTTCAAACACTGAAATAAATCCTGCACATGGAGGGCAGGGAAAGGGGAGTCTGCTTCACCTCCAAGACACAAACTCCATAGCCCACTGAGTCCTGCCAGAGACACGGGGCAGCAAGTGCTCCTTCAGATCAAAGAAATTCTGCATAAGATGCAGCAGTTTGAGCTACATGCTGGTGAAGAAGTTGGGGTCTCAACCATCACACTTGTCTTGCTTCCAGAAGATGGAACTGGTATTGCCACAGCTCACGAAACAAGCAGCATTTACATTTACAACTCTGGTTTTAAAAGGCTCTGAAACAGAGGCAGCTCTTTGTGGAGCACTGCTGGTTTTCCATCTAGTTTGAAGCAGCTCTTTGAGGTTCCTTGAACACTCTCTTTAAAAACACTCTCTGAAAAGCCCTACTTCAGAAAATGCCTCCTGACCAGCTACAAGGCTAAGCTCAGGTTCACTCTCACCCAAGCTCACAGTTTTTCAGCTGACTCAGTAATTCAACACACAGACAAGAACAGACACAGCTCATGATCTTTTGATTCCAGAGACGAATACTGAAGCAAAAAGCTTCCTTGACACCAACAGTTGCAAAGGATCCACCTCAAAACTACCAGAGTGACATTTCTGGAAGCCCTGTCTCCCATTTGTGAGGTCGGTAAGATGAGCACTTGCATTACCTTGTTGAAATGTTTCAGGTACATGTAGCACACACCCAGGTTGTGGCTGATCTCCTGTACGAAACAACACAAAACCAAATCAGGATGAGGTTTGAGATGCACTACATAACCTACCCCTGACAACAGTCATCGGCCGCCCAGACAGGGGGACCTCTGTACCTGCCCACAAGCTGGCTTTGTCGTTCAAATAAACCTATGAAATCCAGCTGCTTCAGGAACCCACAGAGCTTACATGTGATGGCACACACAAGTCTACAGCCCACTAAGGCTGAAGCACAGAGTGACGGAGGTCTCTTTGGAGAGCAAGGAGGAAAGGCTGCTTTCTGACTCATTTCCCAGTGAGATCTGTGAAGCTGACGCCTGCTGCCCTGATAGGTGGCTCCTCCCTACCTGTACACTCACAGAGATCTGCACAACACGGCATTCGGCTGAACAAATGATCTTTAAGGTCCCTTCCAACCCAAGAAACAGAAGTCAAGGAGCAGAAGGGCTGAAATCCAGGATCGCAGGCAGTTAAAACGTGTTTGCAACACATTTGGAAGATCACTTTGGCATCTTAAACACGCTGGTGACACTTCAGGGAACCATCACGCCTCTAATTCATTGCCAGCAGTGTCACTGCCAAGCTACTTGTCATCTTCCTCACCCTGGCACGTCCTGGGGAGCTGAAAAGCAGGGTCCACAATTCCTCGTTTCTATTCTGGTAAGCTTCACCAGTTTAGACAGACTTGACCTTTGATAGGAAACTCTCTTATTTACCCATTAATCCATGCAGAACACTCGCCTCAGTGCAGTCTCTCCATCTGTGGAGAGCAGTAAGGAATCAAAGAGCCGCTCCCTGTTACTGCGGCTTGTAGAACAGAACAGCACAAGGGAAGAGCACAGGCTGGCCCTACTGCCAGTCCGAGCCAGCTGCAGGAAATAACTGATCAAAACTCCCCCTGAAGGCTGCCTGCTGCAGCTGTGAATAAAGCTATAGCCATGCCAAGCACATACTGCAGGCAGCCAGGCCAGCTAAGAGAAGACAGACTTCACAGAAAATCCATGGCAAGGTTTCCAAGTTGACTGGCACAGGATGAGTTGACAAGAAGAATAATGTATCCTTGTAGCCAGCCTCAGTTGTAGACCTGCTGAGCACCAGAAGTCAGCAAGAGCCTGATGTCTTAAGAAATAAGATCACACCTCGCAAGCCTGTCTCAGAAACAACACTTCTGCGGGCAAAAGTCACCTGCAAAAGGCTGTCCACAACTAACTGAAGCTACGTCCCCTCTCTTCTCATCACCTGTCACACACACTGAACACTCTGCAGTGTTCTTCCTTCATGGTTTTTTTTCCCTCCTGAAAGAGCTAATTTAATTATTGCTCCTGTAGTTATCAGCCTACATTTTTTTCAAAGCAGGTAATGCTTGGTAGATAAGAAGTAACTCTTAGCTAACTTGAGGGTAATTTTTTCATTTTTTGCATTATGAAAGGATTCCCAATTACTAAAGTAAGTTCTAATGCTGAGTGTATAATGTTAAGGGAGGGAAGCATTTTCCATCCCTTCCTGAAGGTAATTCAGCTCTTTATACTATAAATGGCTATGTTAATACTGATAGCAAGGTTCAAACATGTTGCTTGATCGTCTGTTTGTGCCCCAGGACAAGGTGTGGGATGTGTAGGTTGAAATCTGCAGGCTGAAACCCTCAAACCAGAGGGTGCAGAGCCTGAGTGCTCAAGAGCCCATGCTAAAAGGTGATGCCTCTTGGCCCTGCAGCTCCTCCTCTGCTCACACTGCAGGCAACATCAGCTTATCTCTGCCTGGAATGCATCCGCAGCTGTTTTCAGAAAAATGGAGAACCATCTGCACTGTGCAGCAACCTGCAAAGCAACAAAATACTTACCCAGTCCTTTTCATCAAGTTTAGCTGCTTCGTTGTACACCTCAATGGCAGCCTTGTGTTTCCCCAGAAGAAACCTGTGAAAGCAATTCCATTTCTGCTTTTTTCTTGCTTTGAAACCCTGCTGTGTGACCACCGCCACCTCTGCCACTGAGAAATGATGCTATTTGCTAGTTCTCCAGAGACTGGAGTGAGAAAACCCTGAGAATTTTGTAGTCTGAGCAATAAGTCAGCACTGCTCCCTTTCAGAGCCAAGGTCATCAATTCTGCGCTCCGTTACGTGACTGGAGATGCAAGGAATGAATCCGCAAGCTCCGTCATCTGCCTTTGTCTCAAAGGGAAAACACAGGTGATCAAAAGCAAACAGGACACTCAGACACAGAAAGGGGTCTGCAGGGCAAGTTTACACAGCTCCAGGCAGCACCTTTAGCTCTGGAAATTGGTGTGCTATTTATCTTGCTTAAAGCACAAATGAAAAAAATCAAATAAAATACAACAATAGCAGCCAGGCAGATTACAGAGATTGTGCTTTAAAGGGTGGCCCACGCTCCTGGAAAGCAACTCAAGTGTTGATGAGGAGGAAGCATGCTTGGAATTAAGCAGCCAGTGATTCTGCTTGATGCCTGGGAGAAGAACAGAACGTGGAAGGCCCTGGGTGGCACATCAAAGTGAAACAATCAAACACCACTCACAGCGATCGCGCCACCTGCTTCAGGTTGTCAGCACTTCGAGGGTTCAGAATGGAACATGTCTGAAACAGTTCAAGAGATTCTTGAATTTTCCCCTCCAAGCGAAATATCAAAGCTGTAAGAAAACATACACCAGGCAAATCAGCCCATTATCAGCAGAAGTGTCTTTGACAGCAGGGAAAGAACAGGGAGTACAGATACATTACAACAATGCCCATTTGGTCCTTCCCCTCTCGCAGCAACTTGAGGCAGAAGGAAAACGCACACATAGGACTCACGCTTGCTTGGAAACATTTCTGTTCTCTATGGTTCAGGCATCTTAAAACCCTGGCCAACTGTTCGTTAAGATGCAGTCTGGATCGCTCTCCTCCTAATTCTACAGGCTGCAATATGTCCTTGGACAAAAATTCTCCCTTTTCTCCCACCCCAGGCAACTGCTGAGAAGACACACAGCCCTCTGAACTGCAAGGCCAAGTTCTGGGGACGCCCCTGGGAGGACAGAGGGTGGACAGGAAGTGGAAGATGCTCATAGAGTAAGATGAGTCACCCAAGGACATTGCTTTAGCAGAAAACAAACGTCTGTAACACATTGCACAGCACACAGCAAAACACAACCCAATGGAAGAGCAGTGCATCGATGGCCAAGAGCCCACAGCCCGAGGAGGAGCTGATGACAAACTCACCAATGCAGAGAAAACAGAAAATCTAATCTCTCCATTACAAAAAGGGCCAGACATATTTACACAGGAATTTTATAATTGTTCCTTCCATTTGTCCCCAAGTGCTCTCTCTATCTTGTATCACAATTAACTGGCTTTAGCCAAAGGAAGCCTTTCAGAGGCCTCACGTGTGCCGCACCTTGAACGTAGACAGCATATTCACACCTCCCATGGGACTCCTGGAGCTGCTCTTTGATGACAGCCTGAAACAAAGAAGTGCAAATGTATATGGCAAATGTAACCTCAGTCTCTGAAACACTGATTAATCTAACCTTGTGTTTGGAAAAACCAGCTTTAAGATAGAATTTGCAGCTAGTTTTTGCAATATACTGTGAGAAAACAGTACAAAATTGGTAAACTTCCAACATTTTAACAAAGCTAGTGAAAGGGATTTTGTTTCAGTTGCAGAAACTGCAACCACACAAATAACAAAGACACAGGACTGTGTTTGGGACAACAAGAGCACACGTGAAGAGTGCAAACTGGTCAGAGCTTGAGAAGAGCACAGTGCCAACAACACTGCAGGCCTGGCAGTATTTGTCTGCTCATTCCTACTGCTACAGATAATTACATATCACCTGGGGAAAACACTGCAAGAAATCTATGAAGCATCCTCTGCTGATAACAGCACCTACTCTAAGCCCTTTGTGAAGAAATAAATTGAACTGGAGCAACTGTAGCTGAATTAATGGAAGCTGAATGAACTAAAGAAGAGAGCATGGGAAAAGAAGGGAAGAAAACTGATGAAAATGTAAATTCTTGTTGTCTGCATCTATAAAGCTGACAGTTTAGGTGTAGTCTGGCTCTATTCCACAGTCACACGTGATCTGAAATTGTAAAAGAAGCCCCAAAAAAGTGATTTCTGGGAGGATGCAAACTGGTACCACAAAGCAAACACACTGCTTCTGCTCTCTGAGCCTCCTCTCTGAGCTCCAGTGTAGAAGAGACAAAGGGGGAAAGGATTCCCAGGCTAGCAATAGCCTGCTGTTCATATGGCACTTGCGCCAAGAGCGTGCTCTGTACCTCCATCCCCTGCCTCTGAAAACAAGAAGGGAAACTGAACCTCAAATGCAGCACATAGAAGAAAAGCAGGGCGAAGGCAAGGAGAGTTATTACTGAGCAGCCTCCGTCATAAAAAAAGAATTAAACAGAGGAAGGAAAAGAAAGAAGCAGCCAGGTGCTTTTCCCTTGGGGTCTGCACCTACCCATCTCCTAGCCAGAGCCCTCCACACGCCTGCATTCTGGTCTTCACCAAGCACTCTGCTATCAGACACTCGGCTTGGACGCAAGCGGGCATCTCCTGAAGGCAGACAGACTACACTGCTCCATCAGCACAAACGCAGTCTCTCAGAGCAAGAGAGGGCAATAGAGAGCTACCTTCCAGAGGGAGCTGATTAATTCTTCAAACCCTAAAAATCCCACAGCAAAAGGCCTGAAGCTGAGAAGGATGATCTGTAATCCCAGCGTTTCCTCCCAGCTTTATTTAACCGGCTGTCAGAATTCAGATGCGTTGGCAGGAGACCAACCAGCATGAGCGATTTTAATTAATTAAAAGCATCTGGTAATTTTAATAATCTTTCCCTCACTCATAACAGAAGATTATGTCTGTTGTAAAAAATACAGCTAGGAGGAAGAACTGAGGCTGTGAGCAGAACACACGGCTCATTAGCTTTGCATGTGAAGCTGAGTGATGACTGCTCAGCAGGGCCGGTCCCCACACTCTCCAACATCACCCCACAAACCCTGCATCCCCGACTGCATAGCAAGGGGTGCTGTATCCTCATCCTGGAGGATATCTGCTTTGCATCTTGCTGGGCAGCAGAATCAAGCAGCCCGTTATCAATGTGCCACTGTAATAAGCAGCAAAAGAAGTTTGTCAGAAGTTTGGCAACACCAGAGCACACAGAGTGGCACTGTAAGGGTTAAAACCAATGCAACCCTTTAGATTCTGGGGAGACGATGCTAGCAAACAAACACTATTTCCTAGGTGCTTTACATCACTGGCAAACAGGGGAGCTAGAGATGATGCCTCTGAAAGCAGTGAATGGAAAAAAGGGACTAACAGTAAAAAATTAACACAGATCACTCATTTCTTACCTGAGTCTTAAAAGAAAACTAACAGACCCGAGTGAACGCCCAAACTGTTTTGGAGTTGTAAGTTTACAGCAACGTCAGGCATTGGAGCTGACAAGACTTCCTTAGCTCTTGAAGATATTAGCGCTGCGCACGCACAAAAGCACCTTGGGCGTCCTGCTCAGATCTGCGACCCACAGAACAGCAGTGAGAGCTGGAGGCCCCAGAGGGCAGCTCAGCACATCCAAGAGCAGACTGCCTTTGGGACACAGCCACCTCTGAAGAGCGCAGAAAGATCCAGCATGTTCTGAACTTCTCTGGGACAAATCCAGGCCTCCGAGCACGCGTGCATCGTGTCTGGGCAGAGGGATGGAAGGTGACCCAGCCAGCTGTGGTCTGGTGCCAAAACCTCCATTTTTCCCCATATTTTGCTTCCTTTGGTGACTGATAGAGACTTGGAGAAGGCAGTGTTCCCTTTGGAGCATCCACATGGCTGTTTTCCCTGCTCCCCTGAGCTGGACACTTTTTTTTGCATGCCACAGTCTTACATCCCATCATGGCAACAGTACACATACAAAACAGGGGACCAAACAGAAACAGAAAAGGACAGCAACTTCCTATTTAGATTACCAATCCAGCTTTTGTTTACAGCTATTTAAACCAAGATCTGAGAGGAAATGGCTCTGCTGATGATGCAGCCTTCCAGCTTCATTAATTAAGCTAAATGCTTTTCTTCTGGCCTACCACTTTCTTAAGCAGCCCCAAGAGCTTTCCAACAGAGACAGGGACAAGTCCTGGCCAATCCTAGTGTTTCAGGAGGAAAAAAGTATGTTCAGATCTACTTTGCACATTAGGAAAACAAACAGACCACTCCTACACCCTCCTCCCACCCACTGGCACATCACCTTCAATGCCTTGTGTTCTTGTCAGGAAAACACAACTTTTAATAATTTCACCATTTCCATGGCCCATTTATTGCTGCAATCCCAAATCAAACAACTCCATTCAAGCTACACCCTAAACCTAGGAGAAATCAAAGGGTGCAGTGCAGTACCATGCAAAATGGAGGAATTTCATTCTAGGATAGCCAAGATGTATTTTAGAGTTGATAGAAATGTACCCTTGAGAGACTTGCACTAGAGCTGCCTTATAATCAGTTTGGAGGACACCACTCACCTCCTGGAACAAGGAAAGTTTGCAGATCTTTCATTCTTACCGCTTCCAAACCTATCATCAACAGCTCGTGGACAGCTCTAGAGAAATGCACATATGAATTCTGAGCACAGCTGAGGAATGAAGAAAATTAAAGCCTTGTCTGAGCTGTTTCTCTCTTAGTCACCTTAGTCCAAGAGAAGTAAGGAGAGGGGGTGGTTAGGACAGCCTTAGTTCAAAATACAGATGTTATTTTGAAGACATACAGATTAATGGGAAAGGAGAGAACCCTAGGGCCCTTTGTTGGCTCACCAGGTGACCTGGGACACCCATCACAGCACAGCTGGCTCTGTCTTGGCATGAAAACTGCCATTTCCTAACAGCAGTAAAAATCCTTTCCAGTGCAAAGTCTCAGAAGCAACTCCTACCTTGCACTCGTCGTACTCTCTGCGAACGTACAGCAGATAGATGAACCAGTTCCTCCTCTCTAGCATGGGTATCTCCGGCACTGCAGGTACAATATTAGCAGAACACACAAAATCAGATTAATCAGCAGAGAATGAGAGCAATTCTGAACTGCCTGGTCTGCAAGTGCAATGCAACTAATTTGAAAACAGCAATTGCACCCGTCAGCACAACTGATATCCTGACTTGAAGCCTGCAGTCTGGACACACAACCAGCGCCCAGCTGCATTCCATTTCTCAAACTGATGGGTAAAATGCACTGCATGAGACAGAGACATCAGGGCCCTCAGCTGAAAACAAAAATCTACCACCTCTAAAGGCTCAAGGCATCCGCTCCTCCTGGGGCAGTTATGGGAGCCAATTGCACCAAGCAGCAGCACGTTGACTAATTTCAATTCAACACTCATGCTGATTTGATGAGATTGGTTCCAAACTGGTACACAAGCAGCAGCTTGAGGGGTATGAGTTACATTGGTACTTTGGAGCTGAGGCAGAAGAACCAAACTCCTTGAAAATCAGTTTCTAGGAGAGAATGAGGAGGAAACTGGCAGCACACACACAAGAAGAGATGTTGGAGATGCTGCCATTCGCAAGGCGTGAGTAACTTTGAGAGGTCAAACTCAGTTCTTTGAAACTGTGAAGTGACTATGAAACATCACTGAGGCAGCTGAGGCTATTGGCAGAAAGATGCATCTGATGCAGTGGAACAGCATAACTCTCACTCCAGTATTTCAGCCATAAGGAGCTTGCAGCAGTAATTATGGCCCAGCACGGCCAGATGTTGCTTAGTAATACTTACATTGGGTTTAGAAGTTTAACACACTGCTGTGCATTTCATTAAGGCTCAGAATGTATTGCTTCCTACTCGCTTCTACAGCTCAGATGCTGGTGGCTGCAAGGTAACCATAGCAACTGGCAAAAAAAGCTCGGTGTTTGCAAGTCAATATTATGACACCAGTGCAGAAGGCAACATGAGGCAAAGATTGCTGCAGGAGCTGTGGCCACAGGGCTGGCAGGGCCACCCGACCACAGCAGCACGCAGACCCACAGTGCTGTGCAAGGAGCTGCAGGCTGAGCTCCCAGCAGCTCAGAGCAGGAGGTGGCATTCCCAAAGGCACACAGCGCCCACTGCCTGCCTGCAGCACAGGTCGGGATCCTCCTGCACCGCGTGGTACCAACCATGGGAGCACACAGAACCTGCTCCGACCCCCCTCTGTAAGCACGGACTTCAAAGCAGACATCATAAGCTCTATTTAATTATAAAGATTTTGATTCCAGTCAAAATTAAAGTACGCTTTATCCATTTGCACCTACTGTCATGGCTTCAAATTACAACATCCTTTATCACTACAATGAAATCTGTTTCAAATGGAGAACGTTCAAAGGCCCTGCAGACATACATACCCTGTTAGTCTCCAGCCCGAAACCTGGCACAGTGCAGGTCTTGCCAAGAGGTTAAAAAGAAACAGAGCACCATTAACTCTTGCAATAGACAGAAAACCCAGAGGGCCCAGGCCTGCTCCCCAGTGCCCACAGCACAGACAGGCAGAGCCACAGAGCTGTCTTCTGTGCTTGTCGTTCCTTTTTGCTACCGTCCTGCTGCTGAGAAACGATGCAGAAATGGAAAGAAAAGGATAAAACGGGCGCAGACATTTTACAAACACCATCTGCAGAGCCCAGCTGAGGAGCTGTGCTGGAGGTACATCAAGAGAAAGCAAAAACCACCATGAGATACAGAAGTGAACGGCACCCACATCTGCAGAGATGAAACAGTTCTGCTTCCCCCGGCAATTTGCTGTCTCCAAGGAGAACCACGTGGAGCTGGGAAAACACACGGAGTTTTTCCTCTCGTAAAACTCATTTGGAAATAGCAACACACCTGACTGAGAATACATCAGCCTCCTTTTTTCTTTTTCCCCCAAGACAAATCGGGGGAAAAAAAGAAAAAAACAAAAAAAAAAAAAAGAGACAAATAAAAAACTCCAATGTCTTTCTGAAAAGGTGCCTACATTACTCTGGAGATACAAGTAATCTGAAGGTCGAGTCCCTGAGCCTATTCAAAGAAGAAAACAGCAACGCTTTGACCCTTCCTCTGAAGAAATCTAAGAGAAACATTACGAACCAAAGCTGGTGTGAATGCCACGGAGGACACAGAAGAGTGGAAGGACAAAAACTATGAGGAAATTGATACATGACTCAACGTTAGAATCTGTCTTATCCCCCCAGAAGGGGCTGTGGGCAGCAAAGCACTGGTAGCTGGGCTTTGTATTCTTTTCAGAGGTGCAAAGAATTAATGCCATTTGTTGACAGATCTCTGCAGAGCCACAGCCAGCTCAATCTGAATTCCTGTTGCACCACAAAAGCAGTGAAATGCTTCTGTTTCATTTATCTCCATCACCTTTGCCCCCCAGCCAGCAGACAAGGACTGTCCCACCACAAGGGGTCACTGCATTCTCTGAGGACAGTCCCCCCCCCCTGCTTGGGAGGAAGAGAAGACATCATGTGCCTTTCTGAAAGGACCCAATTCAACCTTTGCCAGTCCTACTATCTTTGCACTTTTTCAAGCTTAACAGTTACCCATGAAACACCTACAAACAAAACCAGGTGACACACGTCACACAGCTGCAGCATCCCCCAAGCAGCAGCAGAGAAAGACGCAGAGGCAGCGCCCCTCAGTCTCCCAGCAGGGATGATGGGGAACAGCGGCTGCTCCACAGGGCACGCGGCCATTCGCAATCTTACCCTAATTAGGCACTGGCACACAAACAGCCACTCAGAAGCTTTCTGTACAGAGGGAGGTCAGGAGCTTGGGCTCGAGCAGGAGGAGCTGAGTGTGTTCATCACATCCCTCAGGCTGTCTGCAAAGCAATTTTCCACCTCTTCCAATATATGGACCTTCACAAGTTCCTCGTGTGTAACTGCTGCAGAGCACACAGAAGCATACTATTCTTTGCCACTTCTTGCATAGCCCTGGCCCAGCAGGGACTACAGGTTAGGAAAGCAGTGGTTTAGATCATTCTAGTGGTGAAATAATGCATTTTCTGAATATCAACCTGCTCTCAGGCCAGACAAAGAAAACACAATAATCCAAGAAGTTGGTAAGTGAGAAGGATTTATAACTTATGTAATTACCTACCTACCTCTGTTTTCTGGCATTACAACAGCCTAGTCTCATTAAGCAATGGTGACTGGGAGCCAGGCACCAAACACAACTAAGTACCTGGGTGAACGGCTGTGCCAGCTCCTCTGCAGTTGTTTCCACTGAGAATCCATCTGATCCCCCCTCTCTCGGTGGCCAGTGATTGATTGCACAACCCACTGCCAACAACGCGATTTTTCTTTCTGACAGGGCAGCCTTAAGGAAGTTGCTGGAGCGGAAACCCCCACAGAACCTGGGGAAGATCATCAGGTTTGTATCAGTGCTGCGCTATCATCACTCTTCACTAGATTCATCCTGTTATGGATTTTCTCAAAGGACTGGAAAGAAATCAAATCAGAGTTATTCTCTCTTGCGAGAACCCCCCTATGAAATGGTACCTTGAAATTGGGTAATTATAGCTTAGATATGAACAATCAAAGAGAGGTCTTCGGATTTCATGAAAGGCTTTGAAATTGTTGCAGTGCAGAGAGGGGGTAAGAGCTCAAACAAAGAAATCCGTAGATTCCTACTGTGTTCCAGAGGGAAGGGACTGCTGCCCTGCCAAAATGCATAATAACCTCCTGCCCAGGCAACACACCAAGCAAGGAGAGGGCAGAACTTCCGAAAAGTGATTTTAAGGAGTATTTGATTACACACTTACCACATGTGTCACTGTCTGGTACAGTGCAGTCAGCACCAGGGATGTGGTAAGACTGCCCTACTCTGTCCTGACTCTGCCACTCCCAAAACCTAGATGCTGTGAAGCCAAACCCTCCAGCCTTGAGAAAGTACGCAGCTACTTCCAAACCAAATAAGCACAGATGCAACGCCCCACGTCTCTTACTAATGTAGCATTTTGCTACTAGCAGGAAAAAAAATGTAGTCAAGTACACCTTGCTCACGGAAAGAAGCCAAGAGGAAGCTTGGCTACAGAGAGAGCAGTGTTATCTCCCCTCATCAGAGAGGGCAAGGCTGGCACTAACATCCACAAGCAGGATTGAGCTCGTTGATTCGAGGTTCATTTCCCATTCTACAGCATCCCTCAACTCCCAGCTCAGCCTCCTCGAGGCCCTGGCTGACACCATTACCAGGGTTACAGTCACTCTGAGTTCGGGAAGGCTTGCTGCTGGGGATGGCTGTGGTTGCAATCCAAAATGAAGCTCGGTGTTTTCACAACTGTGTTTAATTAAATGCTGATAGGAAGGGAAAGGCAGAGAGGAAACCAGCTGCGCACTTCTCCCTTTTGCCTTGAGCAGCACAGGCTGCCAGTGTGAGGCAAAGGGTGAAAACTGGTGGGAGAGAGGTGATGATCATCTTCAAGGAAAAATAATACTAAAATAGAAAGGAACAAACCCAAACAGCTACTGTGAATCAACGCACCGCTGCCATGGAACTGCATTTTCCAAAGTAAGATAGAAATAAGAGAGAAAGGAAGCCCTCAGTGAAGGACTTTACATTTAAGAACAGACTGCTTTGATAGCAGTGAAGCACCCTACAGATTCCTCGCTGGGCTGGTGCACAGACACATGCAGTAAGAAATCCTCCTCCTCTCTCAGGCACCCAAATGCTTCAATTGAGCTCCTGGTGATGGAAAATACATTACAGCTTTGAGTTGAAACTAATAGAGGAACGTTGCCCTTCCCACACCCAGCCCAGCTCTGCAGTTTGAAACCAGCATAAATGCAGATCAAATGCACCGTGAGCTCAGGAACGATGAAAATGGCTCAGAAAATCACGGCCCAAGGGCGGCTGTTTGCACCGAGTGACACTCGTATGTGAGGCTGCAGGTGTCTGTGCACACAAATACCTGCAAAATGCAACACGCACGACAGAAACACGGAGAGAGCCTTCTGCAACCCTCTCCTGGCATCGCACGCCGTTCCTGTTGAATCCTCTGTTTCCCT